CATACTTTTACATATACATTAGATGAGAAAAGAATGGTGATAATTAGCATTAGCATGGTGATATTGATAATTTTTTATCTTCCGCTTTTTAACACTGATACAAATAGTAAATTTCAAAAGTTTTATGATAATAATAAGACTAATTCAGCTGGTTAGTTAGTTTACACTAACTGTAATATCTTTTCTTCTCAAATAATATTTTCTTTTCTCTGAACAATTTTATGACAATTCTTTTACGACTTTTACTATTTCATTTAATTATTTCTATATTTCTGCGAATGCAAAGGAATGCGTCATAACAATCTTTTCTAAAAGTGCCCTTTCTACGCAATCATTTCTGGCCATTCATCTGGACCGGAATACAAAAAAAAACCGAAAACATATTGTGTCAATGATTGATCTGTCATGCACCTGTTCTGGAAAAGAATAGAAATGATGATGGAATTATGGTAGGGATGATAAATGTGATTCAGGCGGCATTAATTACGTATAGGTTTGGTTAAATTAAATATTTATAACTGTTGTAGTGATAATTTTGTGTAGAAATAAACTAATAAGAGACAGAGATATCATTTTTATCAGTGTACATGCTAAACGCGCTGTGATATTTATGTTTTAAGCACTGAAATACTGGAAGTATTAGAAGTGACTGCTGCAATTGCAGGAGCAATGATTATCATATCAGTGTGGGAAATTTAAGATATAATAATTTTTTGATGTCCAGACGAATGGATAAACAATAAATAACTTCTAATTAGTCCTAAGCAAATTATTTGTGTCATTTTATCATCCTGTATGATAATCAAGTAGAAAGAAAATATTCCACTTATTTATTTATTTTTTTTTTAAAAAACTTCCATTAAAATTTGAAAAGGTGTTTTAATAATAAAGGTTGTTAGTAAGGAATTGATGCCAGAAATTAAATTCTGATTGAAGTATTTAGCAAATGTAATAAGTTGGAAAGTCTTTCGGCGTAGAGAATGAAAGATTAATTTTTATTCGAAAATTTTCTCACTATTTCCAAAGGAAGCATTTCTTCGTTTCGAAATAACAAAGAATGGATGTTATATCATTTCAAAGATGTGAATATTGTAAGAATTGAAAGGATTTCATTTCTTTTATTCATAATAACATTTTAAAGATTTTAGTTAATTAGTATTTCTTCTCTCATTAATCTTTTATTCAAAGAGCTATAAGAGAATTGAAATTTGATAGAAATAAGATTTAAACTTTTCAACAAGTGTTAATTTCAAATGAAGGAACACAAAGTGTCATCATCTTATCGTATGGCTTGATCTGTTACCCGATAACAGCAGTTGCAGTTTGTCCAGGAGAAAAGTAAAAGGAGTAACCCCTCTTTCATACCGGAAAATAAATAATCTCTGCATTAATCAACCTGCAAGACAGAAGGAAGATTAATCCTTAATGACGTGGGCTATGGTGAAGTATTTCAAGGAAAAGAATGGATCCGAAACTGGGACAACTGTCTCCTTTTTCCGGGGTTAAGTGACCGTTGGGGGTCCAAAAGAGGGATAATAAAAAAGGAATGAAAAAAAAAAGGTAAAAGGGGTAATTTTTTAGTGTGACAAATGGTACTTGAACTTTCTTTTTCTTCTTGCAATGCATACTTAATGAAGATAGTCTTACCCTTAATTAATTTAAAATGTACATTTAAACTTATTCCAACAAACGTTCCAAACGTAAACATATAAGAGGACAATGAGGAGTAAAAGGTTTGCATCTTTTTTTCTGACACGTTACGTGAAATGTCTTGTATCTGACGCGTCACGTGAAATGTCTCGTATCTAAAATAAGCACTTCACTTTTCAAAGTGACCATATATATTGATTGTATGAGCAATGAGATTTCACTCTTTTTATTCATTAATTATCATGATAATACAAGTAGATCTTAGGGGACAAGATCTATTTGGGAGATAAGATGTGTATACAGTTGCTGCCACAATTTTATCTTTTGGAAATTGAAGTAGCTAATTCTTCCATTTTTGCAACCAAAAAATTATTGAAATTTTCTGAGTTACGGTAAATTTCACTACAATTTATGGCTAATGACATTCTCAACTGTTCACTACTCAATAAAACCACTAAGTGTCAATTATTCGACCGCCTAGTCAGTCAGCAGCTAATCCTTCGAGTAAATAAGCGCCAATGAATAACAGCTGCGTCAACTATAAATTTGTTCCATCAAAATCAGGCTAAACCACAACTTTCTAATATACATACATATATGTGTATATGCATATTGATATAGCAGAAGAAAAATACCTAAGAAGTTAGGAGAGAATGAAAATGGAAAGGAAGTAATTAATGATAATTAATGATCCTTTGTCCTCCTGAATATGACTGCATCCGTTATGGTCCCAAGTAATTATGCTATAAGGTTTAGTTGCTCAGATATAAATAATATTGAAATTTAAAAAAAACCAAAAAAATTGAAATTTGAAATTTTTATAAAAAAAATTGAAATTTTTACATTTCTAATATTTATGTAGTCTTAAATCGAACTATGAACTTTTTTGAACTTTAATATCATTGACCAATCAAGTTTTAATTTGATTTATGATGTTTTAAGTGAAAAATATCATCTTCACTGCTTGTTTAAATTAATTAAACAAAAATTACTTTTCTGAGAAAAATAATAGCCAAAAACAATGTCAAAACATTAAAATATACATAATAGTAAGCGGTGATCTAAGAGTTTTTCGAATTTTTGATAATTTTTATTTTATTTTCCTTCGGATCAAAAACCTTTTTGATTTCCAAGTAATGCTAAAAATTACGATCTTCCATGAAACATTGAAGATAGTAAACAAAAATGACTCAACACTGTTATAAATCATGACCTTTGGCCTTGTCCTCATATGTCCTTGTTGAAGGTAAATGTCCGCAGAAGATTGTTGTCATCTTTATATGTTCATATATATATAACAGTTCCATTTGAGTTATGCATTGTAGATACAATGTCTCTTCTCGAGGATATATATACAACTAACAACCATCCAAAATAAAATGTAAAGGCAAAGGAATTGCACAAACAAATTATCTAATGCTTATCATTAGAGAATCTTTTCGCTTGAATAACAAAGTTTAATTTATATTTTCATTGTGATTAGGATTCATTTCATTTAGGAAGAATTTTAAATTTAGGGTTGCTTGGTGAATGGATATGGCTTAAGCCAAGGAATTAAATGATGATATTAGCATTTTCCTCTTTTGCAAATACTATTACTGATAATCTTTTCTAGCATTTTCACTTCGTTTTGATAATAGAAAAAAGAATTTTGCTTAGTATAGTTGGTATAAAATTCCATTTTTATATTAAAAATTCAAACGAGTAGATAGTAAAATTCAGAATTGCAAAAAATGAATTACTGCATTGGAAATAAACTGAAATTGAAAGAAGATTGTTAAAGGAAGTACAAAAACGAATTAGCAAGAATTTGAAAATAGAGAGAAATGTAATTGAAATGAAATCATAAATTGATAAAACAAAAATTTATTTCTAAAATTTTCCATAAGATTTATTGATTTCTTTTATCGGAAAAGTCTCGAAATATATAAAATTTTATTGTGGGAATTGTAGTTTTAGCTAAGATTTATTCCCAAAACTTTGCTTTAATCGCTCATTGCCGTTCTTTTTCATTTTTTCCTATAGGGAATTGAGAATGTTAATTTAAATTCAATTTTGAAATTTTCATATATTATTCAAATTCCTAATACAATATTCCAATTACAGCAGAATGTCGAATCACTGCACTTGGAATGGAAAGCGGTGAAATTGGCGATTCGCAATTGTCAGCTTCCACCAGTTTTGATATAATTAGTGTCGGACCACAAAATGCCAGGTGTGAATTAATTATGATTGATAGTAATCTGATTGCTTTCGAATACTTCAGTGTAAATTCATCAGCTGAAAGATAAAGATATATTTGACGAGAAGGCTTAATTATGACCACAAATACCTTTACTTTACCCTTCACAATTTGACTTTTTGCTTCTGTCAATCAAAAGATCAGAGATATTATGAGAAATAAATTACTGAATTTTACTACAAACATTTATCAAACCTTAGACAAATTATCATTAAGCCTAAGATTCATTGAGCTAATTTAGCTTTGATAATTAGTTCAATGGTATTTTTTAAATTTCGTAAATATGATAAATTCATATCTCACAACTGAATATAATCAAATATAAAAGCTTAAATTATGCTATCCAAGCAATAAAATAATTAAAAAATATATCACAGAATAGTATTAGATCAATACTGTCTTATCTATTATTGTAGTTATCCAGCTTTAAGATGCACAAATGTAGCTAGTATATGTTGGGCGATCTATTTAATTCGATAATTATTACTCAGGTAAATTAAATTCTCTCAAGACCACTTAATTTGCATAATGACTTTCACTGTTTCCTCTTCTTCATTAATAGATGTTTTGTTACATTAGTGATGATAATAGTAAAATAATAATGAAATAATAATAATAATAATACAAATAATAATAATAAATAATTAACAATCAGCAATAATAATGATAATAATACTAATAATGATAGTCAATAATTATAGTAGTAATAATGCTGATAACGACGATAATAATAATGATGATAGTATCAGTAATAATAGTGATATTTGCTCAAGTTTTACAACAAACATCATGACTTTAATCAAAAACCATTTTTCAGGATACGAAAAGAACTTGCATCTGGTGCTTGGTGCCCAAAACCACAAATTAAAGCAGGCTCATATGAATTCTTGGAAGTTTGTTTGTTTCTTACTATTCAGAAAGTAGCCTTATTATAATTTTTAAATGAAAATATGATATTTTTTTACTTTTTAAATCCCAAATCATTGGAAAGTTTGCTTTCCTCACTAATTATACTGGTGATGACCAATCGGAAAGCATTATAAACTGGTAAATTTTAAAAAGTTTTAACCTAAACTGTGGTTGACCCTTCATTTATTTGGCCTATTTACTCATATCAAATGTATGACATCAAATGATGCATTCGAAAATTATATTTCTGGAAAAAAAGAATGACTTTTAAATTAATATTTCTAAAGCTATTTCTACTTTTTTTACTTTTTCAGTAAGGTAAGTAAGTGGATGACGTAACATATGCTAAGGTAGGTAAGCGGATGACGTGACATGTCATGTGTATGCTACATAACGCTAATCGTTTATAGTAATATTGTAAAAGTGAAGGAAAATTTGAACAGTTGTCTTGCTTTTTAACTAAACACGAACATTTCAACAAGAGATCCATCAAAAATTTCGTCCCTAAATGACAACAACTAAATGTTGTTCCAAAAGTCAATTTTTTTTTTTTAAAGTCTGCTAGATTTTCTAACTTTACAAAGATTCATAATTTTAAATTGATTGATTTGTTTTAACCATCTTTGTATTTATTGCTTCCAAGTTTACGAAGTGACAGCTGTCACATCACATTTAGTAATTTCAGAAAATCTCTATCAATGCTTTACTTTTTCCAAAACAATCATTTAGTATGATCTTTATTATCAATATATTAATCTTAAATCGGAAAACATTTGGTTTAAAATAAGAAATGATTTATTAGCAATTTAGCAATTAACAGTGATGAAATTATCATTGTGATAATAAAATTTATTGCGATTCAATCAATTTTGAAAATTTATTATTTCAATTTTATTTTTATTTTATTACTACAATATCTGTTTAACTTTACTAGATATTATAGGTGAATTTCGAGCAGGTATATGTGATAACAGGAATTGAAACACAAGGTCGTTACGGGAATGGGACAGGTCGAGAATACACGACACATTACATGATTGAATACTTAAGATTGGATAGCTCATGGATAAAATATCAAAATAGAGCGTTAGCTGAAGTGCTTGACGGTAATGAAGATACAGCAACTGTTGTACGACGAGACCTGGATCCACCAATTGTTGCGTCACAAATTCGAATTGTGCCTTATTCGACGTATGCAAGGACAATGTGTCTCAGAGTGGAATTTTATGGATGTCCCTACAATGGTCCGTTTCAGATGTCTGTTTGTTTTCATAGTTTCTAACTTTTCAATTTAATTGATTTGTTTACTTTTAGGTAAGAATGGATTCTTGGAAGAGGGATAGATTGAGTTCATTACAGAGAATGACCTCAAGTTTTATTTGATTTCCTAAAATTCACTTCAAAAATTCAATTCATTCACTACTGAACAGTGGTCTTTGTATTTCTTCCGGTCATTCTTTTATCTTTTTTATGCTGAAGGATGGTTAAAATTAGAATTTTATCTTAAAATAAAAAAAAAAGAAGGAAAGTTATATGAACATTTTATTAAATATCTAATAGTATTTGCAGATGCCTTAATGTTTTACTCGATGAATAACGATGGTTCTAGAATTGATAGTTATGATTTTCGTGATAAGATTTTTGAAAAATCAAATATGATTAGTCATTTCACGAATAATAAGAAGTAAGTAAAAGGAAGTTTTCTTCATCATTTCAATGTTTTTAAATAAGAATAAATGAAAAAAAGGCATTAAAATTTTTGTCAAATGATTTTAAAATATTTAATCATTTTTCGATTTAACATTGCTATTTTACTATGTGTCATTCTTTAGTGGTAGCAAAAGTTTTTTGAATTTCTCTTAAAAAATGTTAAGGAAATTTAGCTTTTTGCTAATATTTTAATTAAGATAAGAATTATTTTATGCAAAAAAAGGGAAGCAAATACACAACTTTATCATTATTCAATTTTCTTTGAGTGTAGGAAATTTGACTGTCCAAAAGTTGGAAATTTAATTGACCTGAATGCAATTGAATGTTCTTTTATCTTTAGCATTTATTTTATTACATTCGATAATTTCCTTTTGTGAAGAAAAGAGGAGCCTCTTGAATAATTACTTAGCCAAATGGTTATCTAGTCGGATGTTTGTTAATTAGTCTAATTGTGAATTTGAAAAAACGATGGGTGGTTTGGATGAGTGAAAATATCAATTATTACTGTATTAGTTATCAGATTACTGCGACTGGTTAATTACATATTTTATTTTACTTCTGATTTCAATGCGATTGCTTAATTATATATTTTATTTTATTTTTGATTTCAATATTATGCTCAACCTTCAAATTTGCTATTTGATTTTGCCATTTGAATAATTACCTGTTTCAAATTTCAGAGGTTTAGGACTCCTCACAGATGGTATCATTGCCACAACAAATCCGTTGGACGATATCACCGGTAGCGAAAATAAAATACCAGCAGCATGGATTGGATGGAATCAGCTGATAACCAGTAAAAATTACCATGCAGAATTTTACGAGATCTAGTAATGGCGACTAATGCATTATTGATTGCTAATTATTTTCCACCATTTCAAATATCAGAAGTTACTAAGAGTTTCTCAAACACCTATTGAGTAGATTGTTACCTGCGATTTTTTTCGGTGTCACATTTCTAAGAAATTCTGAAATGTATCTGCTAGCTGATTCGTTATGTATATATATAGATATATGCATAAATACAGATACTGCGCATAAAAAATGATCCATGAGTTTTTTTTTTTTGTTTTTATTTTAAATTCAGATGGTTCGGTGGAGATTGTCTTTGAATTTTCCGAGATTCGAAAATTCACATACCTTGAGATTTGGTCCTATGGAACATCATTGCGAATGACGGAAATATTTTTTAGCACAAATGGCAAGAAATTTGCACTCGCTTCACAAATTTCATCCATACAAGTAAAATGTTTTGTTTATTCATTCAAAAAATTTTGATGCAAATTAAAAAATTTCAAAAAAAACTTTTGATCATCCTTTTCTGGAAAAAGTAATTTAAATTTATCTAATTTTGTCGTTTTTTTTTTTCATTCCAGAGAAGACCATTAGATGCAATGCGCAATGTGCCAATACGAATACCGCTCCATAATGCAACTGGACAAGCCTTAAAAATGAAACTTAGCTACAAGGATCAATGGTTGTTTCTGTCTGAAATACACTTCGCATCAAGTAATTTAGATTTTTTAAATTAAAAACTCAAATTTCATTTTTTAAATTCAGTCATCTTGCTTGCTTTTCTAACTGATCAAAAAAAAAATACTTGCTGACTGATTTGTTTCACTTGCTTGCAAAAAAAGTTTGCTTTATGTCTTTACTTCGCCAATAATTTCATTCATAAACAATAATTATTTGTTGTAAAAAATCTTTGAACTATTTATTGAATAAATTCTGAGATGTGCAATTTATTCGTTATCTATGAATAATTGCATCAATTCTCCTATAAATGAATTAAATTTTTTTGCACAATTTTAATTTAAAAACATATTTTTGATATTTGAATATTTCAACACAGCTCTTTTTTTTACTGGAAACTTGACAAAATCATTAAGGATTCTTCTTGCACTTAAGATTCAAGCTTTTTTTGTTTCCTTATAAAAGTTTAATTTAATATTTTCTCAAATTAAACGAATAAAATCTAAGCCTTATTTAACTTCTCTTTTTTCTTAGGCTTAAAATAGTTCCCTCCTTGAATCCCGTAAGAAAAAAAAATATTTTCAATTTATTGCGCCATTTAGATTGGAATAAGTTTTTTTGAAACAAAAAAAAAGAAAAACTTAAAGTAAAATTTGAAGGCAATCACTTTAGGCACTGTTAAAAAAGCAACCGTATCGACGCGAATTCCTATCACTATCACTGCTACTACCACTGTTATCATCACCAGTTCTGGACCCGGTTTGGAAATATCTCTTCTTCCTCACTTTCTTCCTTTTCGCTTGCAATATTACGTTTTGTCCTATTTGTTCTTTTTTTTTTTTTTGCTTTATCACTTTTAATGGACGACAATGGACGACATTTCTCAAATTCTCAACTATTTTTCTATTTTTGAAATTTTCGAAAAAAAAATTTTTTTAAGGAACAGCTCGGAAAATTGATTTATTTTAAAATAAATTTTATACACAAGCTTATTCCAATCTTTCATTGGAGTATTTTAATGAAAATTGAATTATTCAAAATATTGCAAATTAACTGAAACCAAATGTGATGCATATTTTAAATGATAGTTGCAAATAAGAGATGAGATGAGAAGAAGGACTGATAATTAATTATATGCAAAATTGCGCGCAACAATGAGATATCCGAAATTAAAATGAACCAAGAATTAAAAATTTGCAATAAGTAAGAGGAGAATGATAATAAAATAAAATATATATCATGCGACAGTATTAGTTTCAATGGGTCAGTCACTGTCCTCCTCATTCTTTAGCATATTGTCCAGTGACAATTGTTTCTAATAAAGCAAAAACAATTCATTTGATCAAATGCTTGTTGACCCATTTGTCGAAAACTGTTTTAAATGAGGAAAATTTTAAAAAAAAAAGAAAATCCTAAAATTTTTTTGGAATTTCTTCCGATGACATTTTTGAGAGTAACAATAATGGAAATAAGCTACTGTAAAATTTTCTCTTCCAACATTTCTCACAACTTTTCAGCAGCTTTATTTATAACCGATGCTTCAGTCATTATTCGCATTTTTAAAATTAAACTTTTTGATTTGCATGTTCATGAATGCTGCTACTTAGCTGTTTGCTTTTTACAGCCAGGCAATTATTAATTTATTTTAATTTTGAAAATAAATTTCAGGTATATTCAATGTAACTTCCTCAACAACAGTGGAAGAACCCATTGGTATATTTCCGGTTGTTTATTTCATTGGTAAGTATCTCGGATTAAAATATCTTATCAGAAGATTAGTTGGCAGTGAAACAGTTTATGGTCTATTATCGCTAATCATTGGATTATTTTATGCAAAAATTTGATCAGTGACAATTTCAATTCTCAATACCATCGAGTAGTATCCATTACAATGCCTTAGAAACTTTAAACTAACTAATGTTTACATGTAAAATTTAGTGATGTAACAAATATTATTTGTTCGGATAACCTTTGACTATCTGAAAATGATTATATACTCATTTTATGCGCAATTTGATTTTACACCATAAACTAAACATTTTTCTTTCCCTTTTTATAAGGTGATAAGATGATACGATGGAATGTTTTAAAATGATTATTACTTTGATAAGCCATATTTGTAAGAGTGAGTTAATTTTAAAAATATCGGATGATTCAAATTTTAATCATCATCTAATCATT